CTGGCTGCATTATGCCTGTTCTCCATTTTTCTTACATTCCTTCAATGTTGTGTTTGTGTCTTTACTTTACATTTAGTAGAAAGGACTAACTTTCTCCATTTCAAACATTCATTTGTAATCTTTTTACATCTCTATTTGCTTTCTCCACTATTAAGAACCTCTTTGATTTTTGCACTGGGCCTCTGTACCATTTGCCCTCTTGCTCCTCCTCTGCCTCAGTCAAAAGTGTATAGAAGAACCTATTTTCCAACATGTTGCAGTTCTCAAGAAGTTGTACCAGACTTGAAATGTTAACTGTTTCCTTCTCTATTGATGCTGCCAGACCTGTTGAATTTCTCCAGCATTTACTGTGTTTGTTTCAGACTTTCAGCATCTGGAGTACTTTGCTTTTGATACATATACCAGTGTTTGTTGACTATCAGAACAGAATTGTAAACCTGAATGTGTTAGTTTATTCTGAGTCAATGGTAATATTGGTGTCCTCATTGTAAGGTGAATGGTGTGGGTTGCTGATCAGAAATTGCTGATTAAAGTCCAGTAAATGTAACTTACTTTTCAAACAATTTAGAACACAGGAACTGCTGTGATTCTACAAAGGTTCGATCATCTGATCTTATACTTGTATCCTGTCAAAAGAAATACTTTCATTTTATAGAAAGTCTTTCAGATCTCAGGCCAACCTAGAGTCAATTATATATAAAAACAGAGATTGCTGGAAAAGCTCAGCAGGTCTGGCAGCATCTGTGGAGAGAACTCAGAAACCAGTGACCCTTCCTCAAAACTGATGGGCATATTACAGCCAGTTGGACAGACAAAGAACATAAGGACCAGGAGCAGGAATAGGCCATCCATACCTTTGATCCCTCATTGCCAATCACTAACATCATGGCTGATCTTTTCATGGCTTCAGCTCCACTCACCCACCTTCTCACTGTAACCTTTAATTTCTTTACTATTCAAATAATTATCTATCTTAATTTTAAAAACATTCAATGAGGAAGCCTCAACTACTTCACTGGGCAGGGAATTCCACAGATTCACAACCCTTTGGGTGAAGAAGTTTTTCCTCAATTCAGTCCTAAACCTGCTCCCCCTAATTTTAGGCTACACCCACTTTTTCTAGTTTCACCTGCCAGTGGAAACAACCTCCCCGTTTCTATCTTATCTATTCCCTTCATAATTTTACATGTTTATATAGCATCTCCCCCATTCTTCTAAATTCCAATGAATATAATTCCAGTCTACTCAACCTTTCCTCATAAGCCAACCCTCTCAACTCCTGAATCAACCCTGTGAATCTCTTCTGCACCCCCTCCAGTGCCAGAACATCTTTTCTCAAGTAACGAGACCAAAACTGCACGCAGTACTCCAGGCGTTGCCTCACCAGCCCCTATACAGCTGTAACATAACTACCCTGCTTTTAAACTCAATCCCTGTAGCAATGAAGGACAAAATTCCATTTGCCTTCTTAATTACCTGTTGCACCTGCAAACCAATCTTCTGTGATTCATGCACAAGGATACACAGGTCCCTCTGCACAGCAGCTTGCTGCAATGTTTTACTGCTATTCCTATCAAAGTGGATGACCTCACATTTATCGACATTGTATTCCATCTGCCGGACCTTTGCCCACTCACTTAAACTATCTATTATCCCTCTGCAAACTTTCAGAGTCTTCTGCACACTTTGCTCTACCACTCTTCCTAGTGTCATCTGAAAACTTTGACACCTAGACATGGTCCCCAACTCCAAATCATCTTTGTAAATTGTAAACAATTGCAGTCCCAATGCTGATTCTTGAGGCACACCACTAGTCACTGATCACCAACCAGAAAAGCACTCATTTATCCCCACTCTTTGCTTCCTGTTAGTTAACCAATCCTCTAACCATGCTAAATATATTGCCTGTAACACAATGCACCTTTATCTTATGCAAGGTGTAGAGCTGGATGAACACAGCAGGCCAAGCAGCATGAGAGGAGCAGGAAAGCT